GTGGATGGTGGCAGTATGATCAAAGAGCAAATGCGGATATCGATGCAGCATTTACGAACGGTCAACGAAAGATCGATTTGCTAATAGCTGGTTTTGTCTATGTTATTGATTTTGAAAATATGTCGCAGTATAGACAAAATGAAACACAACGCCGACGAAGAATTAAATATGATTTAGTAACAGCATTAAAAAAAGGCATTGGTGGTCTAAAATTAAACGATAGACAAAGGTTTGTAATGAAGATTTTATTGTATAGGATATTTGAGAAAATCCATTTATTACAATAATTTTATGTTCAGACAAGCTCTTTTTATAAAACTGAGAAAAGCTTCTTCTATCAGAGAAGTCTTAGCCTACCGGTGACGTCGTATAGTTTCAGGCAAATCTAATAGTGGCTGATCTCAAAATTTACTTTTTTAATAATGCCATTTTGTTACAAATATCGTAAATATGAAAATTAGAGAAAATAAACTGAAAAAATCTCAGAGAGGTAGAACTTTTAACATTAGCGTAATTTGCATTGCTAAGTAGAATCATCTGACGATACAGTTACAAAAGAACATCCGTTTGTATCGGAAGGTTAAGTAACAGATATTTCCTAGCAAACTGCAAATACTTCATAATCGAATTTTGTTTGACAGAGAAATTCTAATTATGCACATAGTAATATTTACAGACAAATGGTTGAGTTTCCATTGGCTTATGATGCCATTATTAAGAACGCTTTCGCTCGATAAACATACCAAAAAAATGTCGACTCAAATTCTAAACGTAAAATAGTGTGCAGAAAAGCGGTCACAATAAAAGTATAGTAATATGTAGCTAAAAGCACCTTCCTTTTGGTTTAAATTCACACATTGATTTCAAAAACCACATTTATCCTCTAAGTTCATCAGTTAGCTCTAAGATTTAGTAAAATGCTATTTTTATATAGATATTCTTTTTTTATTTATTTGAGTTGAAAGTGCATCTTTGTTTATTCTTGCTTTAGGCGAGATAATCAAGGCAATCAGCCTCCATTGCTCGTACCATCAACAGTATCAACTACTGTCGTCACTTCTTCACCACAGTCTTCGCATACTACTCGATTATCACCAGGCACAAATATTGTTCCATCGTTAACATCATTGGTTTCGTCTGCCACGGATACATCACCAATTCAACTTTCATCCTCTCTAACGGCTGATAATAATAGCGAAAATAATAATTTACGCTCCGATGCTGATGGTGGAGAAGAAACATCAGTCTCACAGATAACTCTCCTCTTAAATCGATCGATAATTGATGATTCTGTACCATTACGCAGACCGATGTTGGGCACACCAAATTATCAAACGTCGAGATCAATAAATGGAATTAACAATAGTTCTACCGTTCGAAGTTACGTGGGTAACTTCGAATCGGATAGTTCTAGTGATAATGAGCAGAATCATGAGGAGGAGGAAACCAATTGTATTCGACCAACATTAATTGGTGAAGGGAATAATAATATTAGCCGTCGCTCAGATTTTTTACTTGGTTCTTCAACCACAACGTCAGACAGACAATTACACAACAATAGCTCAACATTATTGCCAGATTCAGTATCGGAACTGCATGTTGCACCTTCTACTGATTAAGAGTCCGTCCTTACTAATTTTGTTTTTCCATACCGTACAACCAAATCTAACCAAACTTTCAGTGATCCAAGTCCGTGTGAATAAGTCATTGTTTGCTTTGAACTATGCTCCTAAATCTACAAAATGATCGAGTCATTTTCCAAAATTTCTTCCGATCCGTTCTAACATAGATTGAAAAATGAAAGTTCGAAAATATGTTCTTTTATAACAGTAAGATACGAATTTTTTGCATTGAGAAAATCCATCTGTAACCCATCACTATTCAACAAACCATCGGCACAAGTATCAAGAGACTACCCGCATCAGTGTCCAGTAAATACCGATATATTTTTGCTATAAAAATGGCACGCAATAGGATAGTAACTAGTTTTCATTCTACTGTCCATTTCGAAATAAAATGCGTGACGGGAGAAGTTGAATATCTCCCGAACGCAAAGAGTTATCGAGATCGGTTTTTCACCATCATGCAGCCAAAACCGGGACACAACTATATATAGGAACCAAAATTCTCAGTTGGTATTCCTGAAAGATCTTTGAGAAACTACCTCGCCGATCTGGGAAGGTTTAGTGGATTTTCGATTCAAATCAATTCATTTGGTAGCCTGTAGTCTTCTCTACAAAGTCACGCAAGCCACAGATTTTTCCATTCGGGTACTGGACTTTACGGACCGGGACATCTGAAAAGCACACTTTTCGACTCGGTTGAGCTTGGATTTGAATGTAAAAATCGGTTTTCGATCATGCTAAATCTCATGGTAATGTTTGTTCTCTTCGTCAAATTGATCCAGGGTCGATAGACAAAAATTAGCGAAACAGATGGTTTTTGACCTCATCTACTTTCCAATAAGGTGACCACAATTCACCCAGTTCTCAACCGATTCAGCTGAAATTTTCAGGATAGACTTGTAAGACATCTTTCTGCATGAAGCAAATGTAAAAAAATCAAACTTTCTGTCTAGGAAAACTTTGCTTTCTAGAGGATTTCAGAAAACCTGTCAACTCTTGAAGGTAGCCAGCTTCTTTTTGATACAATGATTATGTGAAGATGACAATTGATGACACGTATTGTGATGATCATGCCAACGATTGTGTCTTTAATGGAAAAGATGCAATTAAAAATTGTAGTTATAATTTGTACTATCGATATACAAATGTCATGTTATCATTAAGTAACATTATCAATAATGATCGTTTAATATTAAAAATTTCACGTAGTAAATTTTTACTTTCAAAAGAATTAGCATTGACACCATGTAAAAATGAATCGATATTGCAAAATTCTTTGCAAGTGCTTCAAGCATAAAATGTTTACGTTGATTTATTCTGGTGATATTTTGATCAATAATGGGATTCAAACAACAAAAATGTTTATGAACTTGATATAAGCTTTATTCTTTCGGAATACAATTGGAAAAATATTTCATTATAATATTTTAAATTAAAACTATCGGAAAATACAAAATCAATTTTTATGCAAATAGAGATTCGAATATACGAACTTAACTTTACGAAGTTAATTGAGTAATTTATAATTACACATTGTCTTGCAAATAAAATATACTAATATGTGTACTATAAGGATGTTAAACTTGACGATCTCGTTCCTGTAGATTATTCATCTATGACATGATTTTTCTTCTATAACGGGAGACATTAAAGATGCGTTACTAAACTAGCACATCGAGTCTATGAATTACTCAATTTTGCACAATCAATTACGTGTATAACATTATCTAAATGTCCTGGTTAGGAAGGCTTTTGATTGTTCCGGCAATCGAATTGAATTTGATTAAAAGATCTCCATATGATCAACTTCGTAACGTTAATAGAAAATATAGCCGAACTCTTAAAGAATGTATTTTTGCATAATAATCCAGATAAGAACATTATCTCAAGTATTTTTAAAGAAAAGAAAGAAGTACAAATTTGTATTCATAGTGTTCCTTGTTGAAAAACGCATTTTTTTGCGTTTTATCGCATGTCATGTTCTCGATTCTGCAATTCTCATTTTCAAAATTATACATTACCGACTGTTGAAATTAATCAGTGGTTTTTATGTTGTTGGTGCTGTTATTTTTGTTACACTTGTTTAGAATATTATTTATAAATGATCATATCAGATGTTATCAATACTTTGTTTTTCAACATAATGCATGAAGGTTTTTCAAGGACAATGCGTAAATGTTACAAGAAGTATTACTATAGGTTTTTCTTTTTTTCCTTCAAAATTCAATGATATAACCTTAATCGAAATCATAGCAGTTGAACAAAGGGATAAAAGAAAATTTTTGAGTTTTAAACTTATCACTGTTTATTTATAATCATCATTGATCCTGATCATTAGATAGTATGAATGTCGTCAAAAGCAAAATTTTAAGAGTTCAGAATATGAATTTTTTACTTTTGGTTCATAAAATTTTTTTGTAAAAATATAATAATAGAAATACAAAACCTAGTAAAAAGAAAAAGAAGAACCGAAAAACAAGACCATGCAAATGAAAAAGGTAAAATATAAGTGTAACACAACTGAAAATCAGCAAAATATTATTCATTATCGACGTTACGTTTATGAATGTGTCAACTGTCCGTTTACATTACGAGCTACATGGAGTCTACCAGCATGGTTTCAAGTTTTACCCGTGAAAACTATGTCAGTCAACTAAAGTGTCATAGTTCTGCTTTCCATAGAATAGTGTTAGATGATTTAAAATTAATCATTGAACATGCAATAGCTAGCCAAAAGAATCGCTAACCATCCCTGATTAGTTGCGCTTCATCCATGAGTTCTTGCTGATTTGACGATAGGGGCATTTATACGGTCTACAATATGAAACGTATGGTAGTTTTGGTAAAGACGGAACGATGTCGTCTCGTCGGGGCACTGCAGCATTACTTTAGACCCTAGTCGAGAGTCCCGCAAGAAGTTCCACGACACTCCCGTTGAAAAGTCCCGTTACGGACTCCTGTGAGACTCACGCAAAAGCCCCGCGGGACTTATTTTCTTTTTTAGCTGAACGCTTATATGTACTTGATTCTGAAACATTTGTGAATCAAATGTTAGATTCTTTCCAGTAGCTTCTTTCTTTCTACTTTGATATTTTATCAAAAAATATGTGGGTATTATATACTTGTCACTGGCCAAACAAACGGGTGATTCGGAGGTCCCACGGAACTTTTCGCTTTTCAGCTTTTGTTCCCAACTGTTTACCTACTTTTCCACCTATTGATTTACGAGCAATTTGCTTTGTTCGAGCTATTGTTATAAAGTGTTATAAATCGAGAATAGGTTCAACGTGTGTAGACAAATACGTGAAGAAACGCAGATCATATAATATATTATATAGCATTCAGCATGTACAGGCCATCGTAGGCTGAATGTCGACATTCATAAACTTCACATTGTTACTTAAATACTAAAAATGAAGCTGAGTCGAGTTCATAGGAATTGCTCATGCAAGACAACATCAATAATGTTACCAAAAAAGCGCTTAGGTTACTAATTATAGCGCTTTTAGCGCCGTCTATCATTCTCATGTGCTATTGTTTAATAGATCATCTAGTAGAAAAACATAAGCTTCTCATTCATCGATTGAACGTTTATTAGTCATAGAGACTCAGAACAGGAAAAATAGTATGTAGACTATCCATCCACTTATTCTGTGATATATAAGTTCATACTACAAAAGTTATATGAGCTAAAACGAAGCTGATTGATCAGAAAGTTATCTCTGAGTTAATGATAAATGATGATGTTTCGGACATCATTTAACTTTAACTCTCCAGTCATAAATTAGCTCATTAAACAATAATACGGTGCCACTAGACAAGGCAGTGTGTGGCAACCATTGGGGACTTTATCCTCATACTGTTGTTTTTGTTTACAAAACGTTTGTTCGTTCTCTTTTAACTTCCGCTTCTCCCACCCTTCACTGTATCCCCGACTATAGCTGGGTTCAACTACAACGCGTGCAAAACTCTGGTTTAAAAATTTCTTTTCGTGTTCCATCCTGGTTCTCTACTCGTGCCCTACAAGAAATCTCTTCTTGCTTATAATGCTGAAAGATTGTGTTACAAAATTATCTCACTCTTCCACCTTTTATAATTTTCTCCTCAATGATTTTTTTCAAAATATGTTTTTAAACTTTTTCTCATGATAAAAAATTTGAAACAAACATTTTACGTTTACGTTTGAACCCGATTAAAACAGTTGTAAATAGACTTTTAAACCCCTAATACTCCTTTTTGTTTGTTTATCTACCTTACTATCCAATATCTCAAAGTCGGTGTTTTTCTTTCTATTTATTTTATTGTGTGTTTCTTCTCCCTCGCTTGTGCCTTTAAACACGTTGTAACTCTCTCCAAATTTGTTTTCTCTTTACTTTGTCGTGAAAGCAGATAACAGGTCCGGTCACGTGATGCAATAAATCATCATTATTAGACAAGACAGGTAGCGCCAGTTCTGTGGGGAAACAAACATCTAACTCTCTACTCAATTTTTCTGTTTGAGCTTAGAAAGGCAACTGTAGAACATAAATTCAAATAGCAAACCGCATCCTTCGAGAGTACGGAAGCCAGGAAGCAGCACAATATTAGGGGAAATGTCAAAATCTTATTGGTGTATTAAAGATTTAGGTGTGAACGCTTTCGAAGTTAACTTCAGAGTTGATTCTGAAAAATTTGTAGTGTGAACGTAGTCTAAGAGAATTTTTCCAGTGAAGTTCATTGGATAAAAGTTTTGGATTTACTCAAGAATCAAATAGGATTTCACTTCCTGCTTTTATTTTTCTCGGCTCTGCTACACGTACGGAGATATTCGAGTGGACTGTATCTGAAGATTGATTCTTCATAGTATCTGGTCTCATGATGGTTGTTGGCTTCTAGCGTGCAGTACGGTTCAGTTTCACTCTCAAAGGATAGAGCACATTAAAAATGTCGTTGTAATACAATTAGACTCAATTTCAATAGTAGAATTAATACAGTACGAAACAACAGTTTATATATTTAAACTCAAGCATCCGAAACAGAGAAGGACAAAAGTGCACAATCTACCCTTGTACGTTTGTGAGTGTGTGGAAAAGTTGTGGAAATTTTTTAAAAATTTTCCAACGGAAAAAATTGGGGAATTTTTCTACATAGGAAGATTTAAGAAATTTCCACTGTGGAAATATTTTGCATATTCATCATATAATTCACCGTTTACGATAAGAGAAACTAACACGAATATCTGAAAAAAATCAGTCATGAGTCAGAGGAATGATCAACAGTGCATTTATAGTTTTAAATCTTTTTGAGCGTATGTTTTTTTCGGCTCAAAGAATCGATAATAAGTAAAGAACGACTTGCGTTTAGAATAATAAATGTTTTAGAAAAAAATACGATTACCCGAAAAAAGAGAGGAAATAAAATGACAAAAGCCTTTTCTAAATTTCAAACACACGGCTAGATTCTGCACCTCTGGATAATAAGTTCAGTGAAACCGGCCTTCAACTTACAATTCTCTTACTTAACCAACAAAAAAATCAGCTGCAAATCGATTTCTAACTATCCATGTATTATTTTTACCTTATCTTTCCGTTTTGTTCAACTCTATTGTTTACTAGATGCATAAAGTCAAGAGTTCTTTTATATTTTTTAGAAGTCCATTTACTAATATCAAAATAGATCCGTTAAAAACTCTTTGTGAAGTTCAAACTAACTCTAATATTCGAACGATATGCATATTAGAGTGCGTTGAATACTACCCAAAGTAAATGATGGGAAAACGTCATATATCCCAGTTGAGAATCGATCAAAAAAACCAATTTTTTTTTTTTAATATAAACTATGTGACCTTACTTGTGACAATCCAGGCTAAATTTCATGTTTTCCGATAAAAAAATAATTGAATGTTAAATTTTTTTTTTTTCTGAATCAAGGAAAGGCTTATAACGATAGCCGTTTTCTGTTCTTCTTTCTTTTAGTTTCGTGTTGAAATGCATAACGGAAAGAATCCGTAAGAATAAAAGAAAAATTCTTTGTAAGTTTATTAGGGATAGAGATTGTTACTACTTATATAAATAGTATTATAATAGTTTAGTAGAAGAGTATAGTAGAAAAGAAGAATTTTTCTATATTCTATAATAAAGTAGAAAAACATACTATTTTTCTTTTTACAGGCTCATCATTGTTTTTCTTTTACTCTTTCTGATATGGCATAAGAAACACGAGTATTTATTAAAAAAAATAAAAAAAAAACCTCTTTACACATAAACATTTACTAATATATAAATGGATAATATGAGTTTTAGCTTTTAATTATTATCA